GAGACTTGGCTTTGATTTCTTCTGCCTAAGTTCTCTCAAGCTGGAACAGCTTAGTGCTCAGCTTGGGTGAGTGAGTGAATGCTTCAGGTAAGATCACTCTGTGCCCTCTGGGGGGTGTTGGTAGCTTGGGATAACTTTAAGTAGCTTGCACTTTAACTAACAGATTTGCTCTGTTGTGTGCTGAATTAATTGTGGCTGTTGTGACTCAGCTAGAAAAAAAATTGCATGACCACCAGGGGGTGCTTCTGCGATGATTCCTCCTTATAACATTGGCTGAAATTCCGAGCATACCTAGGGCTGTCACTATGGCAACAGATGAGTTTATTGAAAGGCAATAAACCTTGCTTTTGTCTGAACTCTAGAGGCAGTCATTAAACAGTTCTTTGTTTCAGGCTGCGTGATTCACAGGCAAAGAGGGGAGGGGGAAAGGCCCAAGCTCCTTTTGGTGTTAAAATTCAAACTTTTCATGCAAGGAACAAAAGTGTAGATTTTTTGTTTTTCTTTCTCCCCGGCTATAAACATTAATTTGAGAACAGGTACAAGGCACTTTTACTTTGAAGGTTAGCTAGCAAGCGAATTAGCATAACAAAACCTCTTGATCACTCTTTGAAAGCTGTCTTTTACAAGACACGCTGGCTTTTAAAGGCATCAAGAGAATCTTTACTTCCTTGAAGGTTAATGTAGAGAAAAGGCTAACCAATTTGATTCTCTTTCTTCAAACTGTTGCAGCTTTGAGAGAATAATTAATCTTTGCCAATTTGTTATTTGCTTTCAAAAGATGGCACAAGTTATGAGTTTATCTTCTTACTATTCTGACCCAAATTTAAAGTGTTCTGTTTCAAATCCAGTCAGATAGTTAACTCAAAAGAAACGATCTTATAATAAACAAATAGATTTTAATGAGAAAGATTACTTGCGTTCACGTTGAGATTGGTGCTGCTGGAAATACATGTTTGTTCATCTTTTAGATCCTTCCTTTAGGTAAGAAGATATTGCTCTTTATACCATCTTTATGATGACACAGGCTATTGTATGACCTTCCATGGCCCATGCTTCTTACAGACAAAGAGATTCCATGTGGCTTGTGTCCAGGAGGTCTCCCAATGACGTTTGGGGCTCCTCCCACTGACCCGTCCACATACCTAGCATTTAACCCAATAACTGCCAGACATTCCAACATAGAGCTGGACCATAGAGCTATATGGGCCATAGAGCTATATGGGCCAGAACAATAGTATAGTATAGTATAGTATAGTATAGTATAGTATAGTATAGTATAGTATAGTGTAGTGTAGTGTAGTGTAGTGTAGTGTAGTGTAGTGTGGTGTAGTATAGTATAATGTAATATAATAATATAATAATAGTAATAATAATAGTAATAATAATAATTAGTAATGATGATGATGATGATGTTGGTGATGGTGATGATAAGTTGGAAGGGATCTTGGAGATCATCTAGTCCAACCCCCTGCTCAGGCAGGAAACCCTATACCATTTTGAACAAATGGCTGTCCAGTTTCTTCTTAAAAGCTTCCAGTGTTGGAGCATTCACCACTTCTGGAGGCATGTTGTTCCACTGGTAAACTGTTCTAACAGTCAGGAAGTTTCTCCTTTGTTCTAGGTTGCTTCTCTCTTTAGTTAGTTTCCACCTGTTGCTTCTTGTCCTGCCTTCAGACGCTTTGGAAAATAGCTTGACTTCCTCCTCTTTGTGACAGCCCCTGAGATATTGGAACACTGCTATCATGTCCCCCCTCGTCATTCTCTTTGTTAAACCAGACATACCCAATTCCAGCAAACGTTGCTTATATGTTTTAGCCTCCAGTCCCCTAAGCATCTTTGTTGCTCTTCTCTGTACTCTTTCTACAGTCTCAACATCTGTTTTACATTGTGGTGACCAAAACTGGATGCAGTATTCCAAGTGTGGCCTTACCAGGGCATTGTAAACTGGTATTAATACTTCATGTGATCTTGATTCTATCCCTCTGTTAATACAGCCTAGCATTGTGTTGGCTTTTTTGGCAGCTGCAGCACACAGCTGGCTCCTATTTAAGTGATTTTCCACTAGGCCAATCTGAAAGGAAGATCTGAAAGGAAGAAAACAGAAAAGAGAAATTTCAGCCAAAACGGTGTAATTTCAAAGGGGAGAGAAAAGTTAGATGTGAAAGGGAAGAGTGAAGGACTCCAAAGAAGCTTCTCTGATCAAAATTGGTCACGAAGAACCAAAATGTGGGTGTTCCAGATCAGAAGAGTTGGTGTTAGAAAACCTAAAGTGGCTGCTGCTGTCAGCCTGAATACCCAGAGTCCTTAAACTCTTCTTTCGACTAAAATGGATTAGAAAGAGTTCAGAAAAGGGCAACAAAGTTGATCAGGGGACTGGGGGCTAAAACATATGAAGAACGGTTGCAGGCATTGGGTATGTCTAGTTTAATGGAGAGAAGGACAAGGGGGGACATGATAGCAGTCTTCCAAGTATTTGAGGGGCTGTCACAGAGAGGAGGGGGTCAACCTATTTTCCAAAGCACCTGAAGGCCAGACAAGGAATAACGGATGGAAACTGATCTAGGAGAGATTCAAGCTGGAAATAAGGAGAAATTTCCTGACAGTGAGAACAATCGACCAATGGAGCAGCTTCCCTTCAGAAGTTATGGGAGCTTCATCACTGGAGGCTTTCAAGGAGAGACTGGACTGCCATATGTCAGAAATGGTGTAGGGTCTCCTGCTTAGGCAGGGGGTTGGACTAGATGACCTGCAAGGTCCCTTCCAACTCTGTTATTCTATCTATGCTATATCAGACTAAGTTTAGAAAATATGACAGTCCTGACTTCCACTGTCAAGATTATGTAGCGTCAAGATATGTTTTGATGTTAGGCAAGGCAGGTGCCAAGGTAAAAAAGAATCATGGTCATCTCTATGAAATGAAAATGACAACTTTACCCCCATTTTTTTCATGTCTCCAAAGGAGGTGGGTGAGAAGGAGGAAGGGTAAGGGGAACATAGTTATGCTCTAGAAAACCATAGAATTGAAGAAAAATAATAACCCGACGCTGAAGATGAACGAAAGCAGCAGAAGAACATCCTGTTGTAGCCAATGCAAGAGAGATTGCTGATGATCAAGGAGGCAAAGTTGGAAGAACTGTTGACAGAGAACTGAGCTGAGATTTTGAAGGCTCTTTTATTCTGCTCATATATCAGAGGTTTGACGGCACCGCTGATCACAGGAGGTGCATTAATCTCCAATGTGTCCGCTTAACAAATCCTGAGGATTGAGGATTTCTCTGCAAGATGCTGAAAGAGAAAGGGAATGATTAAGGACAACCTGGACCAAAAGATAATAATAATAATGATGATAAAGTTGGAAGGGACCTTAGAGGTCATCTAGTCCAACTGCCTGCTCAGGCAGGAAACCCTATACCATTTTGGACAAATGGCTGTCCAGTTTCTTCTTAAAAACTTCCAGTGTTGGAGCATTCACATGTTCTGGAGGCAGGTTGTTCCACTGGTTAACTGTTCTAACTGTCAGAAAATTCCTCCTTAGTTCTAGGTTGCTTCTCTCCTTGATGAGTTTCCATCTGTTGCTTCTTCTCCTGCCTTCAGGATTCTTGGAGAATATCTAATACCATCAAACATCCACATCTGCCTATCCCAGGTCCTGGGTAAGGACTCGATAGGTAGACAAAATGCCAAATCCAGTCTGAACATCTGGCTGACTGTGCGATGATCCATAATAATAATAATAATAATAATAATATGATGATGATGATGATAAGTTGGAAGGGACCTTGGAGGTCATCTAGTCCAACCCCCTGCTCAGGCAGGAAACCCTCTACCATTTTGGACAAATGGCTGTCCAGTGTCTTCTTAAAAGCTTCCAGGTTGGAGCATTCACCGCTTCTGGAGGCAGGTTGCTCCACTGGTTAACTGTTCTAACAATCAAGAAGTTTCTCCTTAGTTCTAGGTTGCTTCTCTCTTTGGTTAGTTTCCACCCATTGCTTCTTGTCCTGCCTTCAGGTGCTTTGGAAAATAGCTTGATTCCCTCTTCTTTATGGCAGCCCCTGAGATATTGGAATACTGCTCTCATGTCCCCCCTTGTCCTTCTCTTTGTTAAACTAGACATACCCAATTCCAGCAACCGTTCCTTATATGTTTTAGCCTCCAGTCCCCTAATCATCTTTGTTGCTCTTCTCTGTACTCCTTCTAGAGTCTCAACATCTGTTTTACATCGTGGTGACCAAAACTGGATGCGGTATTCCAAGTGTGGCCTTACCAAGGCATTGTAAAGTGATATTAATACCTCATGTGATCTTGATTCTATCCCTCTGTTAATGTAGCCTAGCACCGTGTTGGCCTTTTTGGCAGCTGCAGTACACGACTGGCTCCTATTTAAGTGATTGTCCACTAGGCCAATCTGAAAGGAAGAAAAGAGAAATTTCAGCCAAAACGCTGTAATTTCAAAGGGGAGAGAAAAGTTAGATGTGAAAGGGAAGAGTGAAGGACTCCAAAGAAGCTTCTCTGATCAAAATTGGTCAAGAAGAACCAAAATGGGGGTGTTCCAGATCAGAAGGGTTGGTGTTAGAAAACCTAAAGTGGACCAACACCATTGCAGTAGGCAGAGAAGAACAGGAGGAGACATGGCTAGGTCATAGTTGAAATGTGGATGAAGATGGATAATATGGCTATTGTCACCAAATAGACCATTATATGAAGACCTCTTGGTGAATGTGTATGTTTAAGTGAAATGTAGCCATCGTTCAATTGATCACTTTCATTCCACCCATCATAAAATCACACACCAATTATAACACCCTTCTGGAATTGAGTTACCATCACATCCCTAAGCGTCAAAAGGGTGTGACAGAAGGAAGGACGCACCTGAGAATTTGAGAACGCTAAGAGGAACCAAGAAGTTATTGTCACACATTGGTTAGTCATGCATATTGGTGTTCATCACCTGCTGCAAGGGTTTTTGTTCAGCTCTTCAGCAGAATTGTATCACTGTGCACTGGCCACCATCCAAATATTCCAGGCAATAATAATCACCGTCATCTTCTGCCTCAAGATTGGAGATGCTTAACACTGCAGATGTCCTAGAGTTTTCAACAGAACCGGAGAATCGTGCTGCGATTCCAGAGGCTCTGCTGCTATCGGAATATATAAGGAGTTTGGGGGGACCGCCAGGTTTCTGTTGATACCAGGAAGAATATCCTGATCCAATCGTTCCACTGCTTTTGGTACAAGAGATATCAATTGTCTCTGTAGGAGATCCAGACACAGAGGCTGGTTGTGTCAAGACTTGGGAAAGACTCCCTGAAAAAAAACAAAGGTGGCAGCGTTAGGACAATGTTCATTTCACGAAAGAGAAATGTGTGGTAGGAACAGAAATCTGAAATCAAAGAAGTAGAGGAGAAAACACTTGTCTGAATTATTAGGAGATGGAGGAAGAGTATAAATCCCAGTCATATCCCAACTCATAAGTTACCCATGAAGTAAGAGGAGAGGATGAGAAGAAGAGGCAGCCAAACCATGATTGGAGATTGGGACAGGACTGGATTGTCTGCAGAGCCAGCTGTCCTCTCTGCTCTTAAGCCTGTTGCCCAGTGGGGAATTCAAATTCATGCAAATGCCCTGCCTGCTCCGCAATTCTTCCTCAGATATGACAGCCAGCTTCAGATAAAAGGAAAGAGCATCCTTTGAAGATTCCTTCTCTTCAAGCAGTAGGATTTATAGCAGAGAAGTGTAGAACCCTAGGAGGAAATCCCAACTCCGCCATTAAGATCACTGAGTTGTTTTCAGCCATGATTCTCCTTCGGCTTATTTCACTTTTTACAATTTCTAGAGAAAACCATCAAAATATCCTGCAGGAATGACAATCTCTCAGCCCAAGAAATAGTGCCCAAGAGCCCCCAGATTGGAAGACTTATTTATTTGTTTGTTTAAATGTATTAATATTACAGCTCTTTCCCATGCATTCTGTTACGTTTTGGGTTTTACCCGGTTTTTGCTAGTTCTGTTCCTTGAGAAGAGAAATATGAGTTGAAAGGTAGCCAAAGAATAAATTCAACTTTTACTTCTCCACTACAAAAAATGAATGGTGGATATCAGGACCCAGTAATAAATTGTCTTCTTGGTCTAGCTGATTGTCATCTTAGCTTCTCCTTTTTGGATTCTGTTCCAGAGTATAAACCAGACATGTCAAACACAAGGCCCGGGGCCCGGATTCGGCCCGCGAAGCCATCCTGGAAACAGTGAGGGAACGGCCCCTGCTGTCTTGGCTCTGGCCCAAGCCAGTCGGGAGCCAATGTACAATTTTATGGTGGCCATCTATGCTGAAACACATTCAGCCTTAGCTCTATAAGCCAGCCCCCCATGGCCGGAGAGGAACAGTGAGGCTCCTCCAGTGGACCACACCTTGTGCGCTTGTTCCAGTCCCACCCCCTTCTGCCAGAGACCCTCAGATCTGTCCCACTCCTGCCCAGGCCCCCACAGGCACCCTTGACACAAACAATGTAGAGCTGGCAACACCCAACGAGTAGGCCACACCCAACTCCATCCACGCCCACCCAGTAGGCCGCACCCACCCTGGTCACATCCACCCGGCCCCCTGAGGGCAACCGCAATGCTGATGCGGCCCTCAATGAAATTGAGTTTGACACCCCTGGTATAAACCACCCATGTGATTAGACCAACGTAGGGATACGACCAGCCTGATCTAGTGGGAGGGAAATGTTTTTTCATTGCTGCTGTCAGCCTGAATACCCAGAGTCCTTAATCTCTTCTTTGGACTAAAATGTTTTAGAAAGAGTTCAGAAAAGAGCAACAAAGTTGATCAGGGGACTGGGGGCTAAAACATATGAAGAACGGTTGCAGGCATTGGGTAGTTTAATGGAGAGAAGGACAAGGGGGGACATGATAGCAGTCTTTCAATATTTGTGGGGCTGTCACAGAGAGGAGGGGGTCAACCTATTTTCCAAAGCACCTGAAGGCCAGACAAGGAATAACGGATGGAAACTGGTCAAGGAGAGATTCAACCTGGAAATAAGGAGAAATTTCCTGACAGTGAGAACAATCGACCAATGGAGCAGCTTCCCTTCAGAAGTTATGGGAGCTTCATCACTGGAGGCTTTCAAGGAGAGACTGGACTGCCATCTGTCAGAAATGGTGTAGGGTCTCCTGCTTAGGCAGGGGGTTGGACTAGATGACCTGCAAGGTCCCTTCCAACTCTGTTATTCTATCTATGCTATATCAGACTAAGTTTAGAAAATATGACAGTCCTGACCTCCACTGTCAAGATTATGTAGCGTCAAGATATGTTTTGATGTTAGGCAAGGCAGGTGCCAAAGTAAAGAAGAATCATGGTCATCTATATGAAATGAAAATGACAACTTTACCCCCATTTTTTTCATGTCTCCAAAGGAGGTGGGTGAGAAGGAGGAAGGGTAAGGGGAACATAGTTATGCTCTAGAAAACCATAGAATTGAAGAAAAATAATAACCCGACGCTGAAGATGAACGAAAGCAGCAGAAGAACATCCTGTTGTAGCCAATGCAAGAGAGATTGCTGATGATCAAGGAGGCAAAGTTGGAAGAACTGTTGACAGAGAACTGAGCTGAGATTTTGAAGGCTCTTTTATTCTGCTCATATATCAGAGGTTTGACGGCACCGCTGATCACAGGAGGTGCATTAATCTCCAATGTGTCCGCTTAAGAAATCCTGAGGATTGAGGATTTCTCTGCAAGATGCTGAAAGAGAAAGGGAATGATTAAGGACAACCTGGACCAAAAGATAATAATAATAATGATGATAAAGTTGGAAGGGACCTTAGAGGTCATCTAGTCCAACCGCCTGCTCAGGCAGGAAACCCTATACCATTTTGGACAAATGGCTGTCCAGTTTCTTCTTAAAAACTTCCAGTGTTGGAGCATTCACATGTTCTGGAGGCAGGTTGTTCCACTGGTTAACTGTTCTAACTGTCAGAAAATTCCTCCTTAGTTCTAGGTTGCTTCTCTCCTTGATGAGTTTCCATCTGTTGCTTCTTCTCCTGCCTTCAGGATTCTTGGAGAATATCTAATACCATCAAACATCCACATCTGCCTATCCCAGGTCCTGGGTAAGGACTCGATAGGTAGACAAAATGCCAAATCCAGTCTGAACATCTGGCTGACTGTGCGATGATCCATAATAATAATAATAATGATGATGATGATGATGATAAGTTGGAAGGGACCTTGGAGGTCATCTAGTCCAACCCCCTGCTCAGGCAGGAAACCCTCTACCATTTTGGACAAATGGCTGTCCAGTGTCTTCTTAAAAGCTTCCAGGTTGGAGCATTCACCGCTTCTGGAGGCAGGTTGCTCCACTGGTTAACTGTTCTAACAATCAAGAAGTTTCTCCTTAGTTCTAGGTTGCTTCTCTCTTTGGTTAGTTTCCACCCATTGCTTCTTGTCCTGCCTTCAGGTGCTTTGGAAAATAGCTTGATTCCCTCTTCTTTATGGCAGCCCCTGAGATATTGGAATACTGCTCTCATGTCCCCCCTTGTCCTTCTCTTTGTTAAACTAGACATACCCAATTCCAGCAACCGTTCCTTATATGTTTTAGCCTCCAGTCCCCTAATCATCTTTGTTGCTCTTCTCTGTACTCCTTCTAGAGTCTCAACATCTGTTTTACATCGTGGTGACCAAAACTGGATGCGGTATTCCAAGTGTGGCCTTACCAAGGCATTGTAAAGTGATATTAATACCTCATGTGATCTTGATTCTATCCCTCTGTTAATGTAGCCTAGCACCGTGTTGGCCTTTTTGGCAGCTGCAGTACACGACTGGCTCCTATTTAAGTGATTGTCCACTAGGCCAATCTGAAAGGAAGAAAAGAGAAATTTCAGCCAAAACGCTGTAATTTCAAAGGGGAGAGAAAAGTTAGATGTGAAAGGGAAGAGTGAAGGACTCCAAAGAAGCTTCTCTGATCAAAATTGGTCAAGAAGAACCAAAATGGGGGTGTTCCAGATCAGAAGGGTTGGTGTTAGAAAACCTAAAGTGGACCAACACCATTGCAGTAGGCAGAGAAGAACAGGAGGAGACATGGCTAGGTCATAGTTGAAATGTGGATGAAGATGGATAATATGGCTATTGTCACCAAATAGACCATTATATGAAGACCTCTTGGTGAATGTGTATGTTTAAGTGAAATGTAGCCATCGTTCAATTGATCACTTTCATTCCACCCATCATAAAATCACACACCAATTATAACACCCTTCTGGAATTGAGTTACCATCACATCCCTAAGCGTCTAAGAGGGTGTGACAGAAGGAAGGACGCACCTGAGAATTTGAGAACGCTAAGAGGAACCAAGAAGTTATTGTCACACATTGGTTAGTCATGCATATTGGTGTTCATCACCTGCTGCAAGGGTTTTTGTTCAGCTCTTCAGCAGAATTGTATCACTGTGCACTGGCCACCATCCAAATATTCCAGGCAATAATAATCACCGTCATCTTCTGCCTCAAGATTGGAGATGCTTAACACTGCAGATGTCCTAGAGTTTTCAACAGAACCGGAGAATCGTGCTGCGATTCCAGAGGCTCTGCTGCTATCGGAATATATAAGGAGTTTGGGGGGACCGCCAGGTTTCTGTTGATACCAGGAAGAATATCCTGATCCAATCGTTCCACTGCTTTTGGTACAAGAGATATCAATTGTCTCTGTAGGAGATCCAGACACAGAGGCTGGTTGTGTCAAGACTTGGGAAAGACTCCCTGAAAAAAAACAAAGGTGGCAGCGTTAGGACAATGTTCATTTCACGAAAGAGAAATGTGTGGTAGGAACAGAAATCTGAAATCAAAGAAGTAGAGGAGAAAACACTTGTCTGAATTATTAGGAGATGGAGGAAGAGTATAAATCCCAGTCATATCCCAACTCATAAGTTACCCATGAAGTAAGAGGAGAGGATGAGAAGAAGAGGCAGCCAAACCATGATTGGAGATTGGGACAGGACTGGATTGTCTGCAGAGCCAGCTGTCCTCTCTGCTCTTAAGCCTGTTGCCCAGTGGGGAATTCAAATTCATGCAAATGCCCTGCCTGCTCCGCAATTCTTCCTCAGATATGACAGCCAGCTTCAGATAAAAGGAAAGAGCATCCTTTGAAGATTCCTTCTCTTCAAGCAGTAGGATTTATAGCAGAGAAGTGTAGAACCCTAGGAGGAAATCCCAACTCCGCCATTAAGATCACTGAGTTGTTTTCAGCCATGATTCTCCTTCGGCTTATTTCACTTTTTACAATTTCTAGAGAAAACCATCAAAATATCCTGCAGGAATGACAATCTCTCAGCCCAAGAAATAGTGCCCAAGAGCCCCCAGATTGGAAGACTTATTTATTTGTTTGTTTAAATGTATTAATATTACAGCTCTTTCCCATGCATTCTGTTACGTTTTGGGTTTTACCCGGTTTTTGCTAGTTCTGTTCCTTGAGAAGAGAAATATGAGTTGAAAGGTAGCCAAAGAATAAATTCAACTTTTACTTCTCCACTACAAAAAATGAATGGTGGATATCAGGACCCAGTAATAAATTGTCTTCTTGGTCTAGCTGATTGTCATCTTAGCTTCTCCTT